ATATATATATATATATATATATATATATATCGTGAATATGTTAAAAAGTGGCTCGGCCTAACTGGCTGCGATCGAAAAGCGTTGTTTGAGCGAAATTGACTGACGATCCGATAACGATTTAACAATTTTCCCATTTTGTACCGACGGGATTAACACGTATCGGAATCTTGTCGCCACTTTTGTACCGCCTCTCGACGTGCATCGGGTACTAACGATGATCGCATGCCACCCAATACGTTGCTCGTCGCCTCGGTGGCCAGAATAATCGGTTTCACAACCGTCGGTGGAATTTGTCGCAATACACCGCCAACAGCACCGACAGTGCCCTTGTGCTCGTGTTCCTCACTCGCCACGCGAACCAGTTGAGTCGCAGTCTCGCCTAAACCCTGAATAATTAAACATTCTAATTATATATCAGAATTTCTTTTATTCAAAATAGAAAAAATGGCCAGGAAATAATGAGTTTAAGCGAATAAAAAGAATTCTTGTGAATAGAATGACATAAGTTTCGATATATATAAAATAAATTTAGAGCAAGTTAAAGTAGCATAAATTTAAAACAAATTCGGAAAAGTAGAGAAATTAGTTTTGTAATCCCAATAGAAACGATAAAGATAAATAATACAAATTAAAATAATTTTTCAACTATAATATAATTATAGATATAAAACACAAAAATACGTTATTTAATATGTCATATTATATTGGATTCACCTCTTTAACTAATGTGTAAGCGTTAGCCACCCCCTCTCGAATATCCAGTGGCTGACTATATCTCTTTCGACGACCCTTCTGCCCTTTGTTCTTACATCTAACACTGGGACCAGGACTAACTATATCATATGCAGTCTCAGCTGTAGTCTGTAACGCCTGTACGATTCTACATGTCAATTCCAATGCAGCCATTGCGGTACATGTTGTAAAACTATTTGCTCCGCGTTGTAACCCGCGGACAATTCTCCCGTCTCTCTGATACTGTTCGATTGGTAACCAAAATAGATCGCGTATTCCTTGAACTACAAGAGTACAAGCAAATATTATAGTTAGATGTATTTTTTTCATTTAGGATTAGCATGCAAAGAATGTTCAGTTTGATACAGTTTCAAAAATAACATCGCGTTTGATTTCCAAACGAAAGATCAAGATCAATTTATACACTCACACAGCTGTACTACAGAATACATTGGGCCCACACCACCAAGTAAACTCGGGAGTTGATTCTTCTTGATATCTTGCAACCATTCCGAAACTAGATATGTAAAAAGTTTGTCGTAACCCAACAATCC